CGTCCTGCCTTCCGTCCTTCCTTCCTTCCTTCCTTCCTTCCTTCCTTCCTTCCTTCCTTCCTCCCTTCCTCCCTTCCTCCCTTCCTCCCTTCCTCCCTTCCTTCCTCCTTTCCTCCCTCCCTTCCTTTCTTCTTTCCTTCTTCCTCTTTTCTTTCTCTTTTCCTGTTTCTGCTTCTTTCATTTTCTTTTTTCTCCCAAGACTAAAACTCGGGTATTTGGGGCTTTTGGAAGTCCCAGCAAAAATGGATCCAGTGTAGGACCCATGGGCAGGCAGGAGAAACCTCCTGATGACCAGACTGGTGCCTCCACCCAGGACTATGTGCCCACATCAGGGCTGCAGCAAAGCCTCGGGTCTCCCCGGGCTGCCATTTGTGACCCGTCCCCAGGCAGCACCTGCAGTGAGAGGAGACACCTCCTTGTGGAAACCACAGGCCTCCTAGGCCGCCTCAACACCAGGCCCCAGCTCTGGAGCAGGGGAGGGTGCCTAGTGTGGCGCTGGGAAGCCACCAAATGGGTCAAGCCAAACAGCCCTGCGGGAGGAAGAGCCTGTCTCAGCCATAGGCCCATGCCGGGAGAGACACCAAGGATCTCATGCCACCTCAGAGAGGGGTCTGTGCAGTGCGGAAATGCATCGATCCTTCTGGTTCCTGCCCAGAAACCCTGTGGTTTGGAGCTGTGTCAGCAGACGCCTCATTAGAGTCAACTAATTAATTTTACACGCAGCAGCAAAGGGAGAATTCCAGCTTTTCCCTGCTGTCTCACCAAAGAGACACGCGAGCAGCTCTGGAGCCAAGGAAAACCCGGAGGTGCTGAGCAGACCAGCAGCACTTTAGATAAGCAGATGCTGTTTGAACACTGAGCATCTGCATGGGTGTCTGGGAGCTCTTGAGCTCTATCCTATTTTGGGGTGGTCCAAGCAGGAGGTTAGTAAATCCCAAGAAATATTAATTCTTTTGCTTAAACCTGTGTGGGACTGTGCGTGTGTGGTAAAGAGAAATGAGCAATCCCATTCTCCCTTGGCTTCAAATCTGGACTGCAACAGAGCAACATTCAGGTTGGATAGAAGTCCAGGGTTTCCCCTATTCACCAAAAGTGACACAATTATAGCCAATGTAAATCAACAGCAGCTTTTTTTTTTTTTTTTCCAAGCACAACCCTGTTTAGCTCAGACTTTTTTTGCCCATAAAACTCCTGAGGAACAAGAAGACGAGGGGAAAAGAGTTTTCGATTTCAGCCACGCCAAATTAAGCTCTCATCTCCCACCTGTTACATCTCTAGAAGACTGAACACTTCTTCTCAAAACCAAATTAAGACCCACATTGCAAAGCACATCTCCCTGCTCATGCAGAGGGGCAGACCCCCAGGCACAGAGCTGCCCTCCATTGCAGCCCTATGGCAGCAGGTCCCAGGTCAGGTTAAGACACTTTTCTTCTGAAATGGCTGCTTGTTCCTCCTTGGAGCATTTCACAGGCCGCGGGTTGGTTTCCCAGGGTGTTTCTGGGCAGGTTGAACGGAGACAGAGTGTCCCGGTTTCACCTGGGCGTGTGAGTGCAGCCTTGGAGAGGAGGTTCCCTCATGCCTCAGTCTGGGCGTGAGTGCGGCCAGGAGCCTCGGATGAGGCAGTGCAGGAATTAACGTGGATGCTCTTTCCAAAAGTGAGCAGAACTTTTCACTGGCTTGCAGCCTAGCTGGAAAAAAAGGAGGAAGAGTCACTAACTGGTCTGTAAAAGTGTCAGTAAAATCCATTCCCCGTTAGCAAACTGTTCAGAAACAGTCTGCCTGGCCCGTGCCCCTAGCTCCTGGACAAGCAGTAAAATTGTCTCTACCCCGTAGGCTGTCCCATGACCCTCAGAAACCAGAGGTGCTCTTTGCTCTGGTGACCTCTGCTAGCCTGAAGCGAGTGTGTGGGCTGGCTGTGGTGGGGGACGTTGGCCTCTGAGCTCCTCTCACCCTTCTGACCTCCTGTCACCCCAAAGCTCCTGTCCTGAAGGATCTGCCACATAAGCAAGGGGCAGTCAGGGAACCTCTGCTCTCCTGACCCTCCTGGATGGGACCCACCATCAAGCGAGTGGTTTCTGCTGTGACAACCAGTGATTCAAGCCCTCCATAGCATTTCACCCAAATCTATAGGAAACGAGCCTGGCTGCACTCCTAGCCTTTGGCTCTGCTTAGGTCAGATTCCTTTCAACAAGTTTGGTCTTTTCTTTAAAAAAAAAAAAAAAATTGCTAAGAAATAGAAGTGGTGCCGAGCGCTCTCCAGCATTCGCCGGAGGCCGGGAGGCTGCTCCTGGCGCGCTCCCAGCGGGAGGCTCCGGGGCCAGGCGGTTCCCATTAAAGCGGAGGGGCGGCGGGGGCCAGCGCCGCGCCACTCGCCTCGGCAGCGGCATGGCGCTCCGGGGAGCCTGCCTCCTCCTCTGCCTCGTGTCCCTCGCCCACGTCTCCGGACAGCAAAACGGCAGAGCCCGGCAGAAGCCGGCTGCTTCCAAGAAAGGTAGGGAGCCTCGGCACCACTGGAGCGCCACTGGTATGGGGGGACGATGGCATTAGCACAATCCTTTATTCTCCTAAAAGTGCTGTCATGAAACTATTTTAAAAAAATGCTTAAAATCTAATAGAGCAGCCACTTTTTTTTTGGTCTCTTTTCGCCCGTAAATTGCATGGTAGTGTTTGCTCTAGGTTTTCCCCTGCACCTTTCACCTGCTGGCTCCAAGTTTGTCCTGCAGCTAGCTCTGCTGAAGTCTCTGCTTCTCCGACCCTGCCTGCTCCTACCCCTTCACTCTGCAGAAGAAAACAAGTGGCGGAGGAGAGGCAGTTGTTGCAAATTTGCCAACGGGAATGGGCAGGGAAAAAGAGCAATATATCATTTATTAACTATCGACACGGATCTTCGTTTTGAAACATCTGCCCCAAGTCTATATTAAGCTGTGCAAGAGATCTCTACTCAGGTTGGCTACAGTGCAGCACACACAAAAAGGTGCCTCAGGTCCTGGGAGGTTTGGGGAGGATTTCTTCTTTGGTTTTTTTTTTTTTTTTTCTTCTTCTTCTTGCCATCTAATACTTTCTTTCTCCCGCTCACACAACGCAAATAAATTATGGACAACTCACGGGAGTAAGAGGTTTGCAGTGCTGCCCATAAATGTGTGATGCTATTTGGTTGATGCGTTGGACTATAATTGCATGAGTTCGGATTCCTTCAAGTGTGTGCTTTGCAGTCTGGAGTAAACTTGAAAAAGAAACATTTGAGGAATTCACTTGGCTGGGCTCCTTCTGTACACGCTCCTATTGGCTATTTTTTTGCCAGATCTTGCCTTTGAGAAATGTCTTCGTTTTTCTCCAAGCAGATCTGTCTTGGAAATTGCTACATATTTGCTTGTTCCACCTTTGTTTGTCGTTTACATTCAGGCTTAGGTTGGTATACAGTACATATGTGCAGTGCGCTTAACAGTTACCCCACGTAGGAGAAATATGTTTCTTGGACAAATCTTCTTTCGTGCTCCATCTCACCCAAATTTCTGCTGGGAACCAGATCATGATAACAGGGCTCTTCATTAGGGTAGGAAAAAGCAGGGCCGAGGCGCTTTGTCTTGTGGCTTTGCTGTGGAGCCAAACCACAACATTAGAAAAACGGCACCTTACACCAACCTGGTTTGGTTCTTTCTGTTTTCCTTTTTTCTTCCTTCCTTTCTTTCTTTCTTTCTTTCTCTCTTTCTTCCTTTCTCTTTCTCTTTCTCTTTCTCCTTCTCTTCTCTTCTCTTCTCTTCTCTTCTCTTCTCTTCTCTTCTCTTCTCTTCTCTTCTCTTCTCTTCTCTTCTCTTCTCTTCTCTTTTCATAATTATTGTTTTTGCTGTGTCTATTTCAAAGCAAAAGCTATGTTTGGAAATGAAAAAGTCAAAACCTATCATTTAGAAAATGCTGAAATCCCAAGTTCATTTCTTCCCCCCCCCCTTTTTTGTTTTGTTTTTGGTTTGTTTTGGTTTTGTTTTGGTTGTTTGTTTTCCTTTTTCTCCCTCCAACTGCTCCCCGGTGATTTTTCCAGGCAGCAGCCCAGCACGGCCCTCCTGAGCACACGTGTGCAGCCCGGCAGGCAGCCAGCTTCCCGCAGCCCGGAGATGCAGGGCTCCCGCAGCTGGCGAGGGCAAGGGGGAGCAGCGGCAGGCAATGCTGCAGGACCTGGGGCACTCACACTTGGGGGGCCCAAGCCCTTCCTCCCGCCTCTACAAGGCCTTGGGGAAAATCTTGTTATTCTTCCCACCGGTAGTGCCAGACTTTAATATTCCCTGAGAGGAAGAAATCAAGGAGGAGGCAGTTAAGCATGAGAGTCTACAGCACAGAGCTACCAAGAGGCTCTTGAAGCTCAGACCCCAATTTCCAGCCCCTATGGCCTGCTCTGTGTACACACACCTGCTCTGGGTCTATATATCTCTCCTGCCATAATGTCGCAGACACAGCCAGGTCCTCCTTTAGATAAAGGAGGACATTTCCAAAAAATGCCTCCAAAGTGATATAAAACAGACGTAGGTGTGTACAGGCTCCTCCTCCAATCCAGGGAATAGACTGGAACAGGAAATGACTTTTCTGGCTGGAGCATTTATGGAAATAACTAATATTAAAAGAAACACTGGTGGCAGATGAGGTTTGATGAGAGAAATCACAAACTAGAGCTCTATTCATCCAGCTGAGCAACAGAAACCTGTTCGGACAAGAACAGATCAGATGACTGCCTGGCCAGCCAAGGGCTAAGCAACCCAAATCCAGATTTTAAAGATAATTAAATCATCAAAATAGTGCACAGAAGGAATCATTTATAATCTAGTATATAATTAGAACACAGAAAAACTAGACAGAACTCCGATTTGTAGGCATTCAGATATTATTTATGAAGCTTGCATTCCTAACTGAACATTGTGACCCATCTATCTCCTTCGGTGAGTCCCTTCTTCATCTTGCTTCTGCTGGTATTTAACTTTGCTTCACCCAGGATTTTCTCCAGCTCCCATGGACAAGATTGGCAACCTCCCCACTGACTTCAACAGGAGACAAACCAAGCTGCAATAGCCTTGATCATAGACTAGAGAGAGGAGCCTTGAGAAAAAAAGCAGCACACAGACAAGAATTTCTGGCAAAAAAGAGAAAAGTCAATGTTTGTTGACATAGTTGAGGTACTTACTTAATTTTTTTTTAGTTGAAAAGCAAATTAACCACTGAAAAAGAGTTACCAGGAAAAAAAAAAACAACTCTTTTATGAAAATACATCATTTAATTGTTCTAGGGAGTGAGATATATGTGGTCCTTGCCGCATGTCAAACATAAGGGCTCAGTTCTGCACTTAACAGCCCCCTGGCAGAGCGTTGCTCACCTCATTAAGGCAGTCCCTTCCTGTATCACTTAAGATCTGATCTGCTTAAGATCAGCCTTTGGAAGCATTGCTTAAACCTACTGTTTTGTGCAATTTTCAATATGACAGATGTGAGCTTTTATTACAATTGTCATGGATTTAATCACATTCCCTACTTAAATCAAACCTCACTTGTCATTTTGAAATTTGGGGATTGTAATAAGAAAGTGGAGGAACAACGTTTCACCAGGCGACACAAAGTGTCTTGTGGAGCTCGCTGCTGCTGGAATATCTCATCACTAAGGATTTGGAAGCAAGGTGGGAAAGGGCATGGAAAAAGGCACTTCGCACCTGGGCAGCTATCAAGGACATCTCTGATACCAGCTCACAGGTAGACTCCAGCACAGGAGTCTTCCCATGAATCCAACAGAAACAACCTGAGAAGCTGCTCCAGCAAGATTAATTAGTGACATCTTTCTATGGCCTTTGGATATTATTTAAACCTAAAAGACACTCCTCCCATTCCATTAGGGAAACCTCTAGAGAAGACGCAGAAAAAAAAATACTGCATTCATTAGCTGTTTCCTCACAAAATGTTTTCATCAAAGGCATCAAAATAATAATAGTGCTTCAGTGTTGATTGAACCCATTTAAGTTAATGGAGCAATAGTCAAAGCAGCTGAATAACCTCTTCCTGGTGTGCTTGGTCCATTCACACTCTTGGCGCACTATCATCTTCTTGGTTCTCAGTTTTGTTGATTTTCCAAGCTGTTTCTGGTTCCTTCAGTTAAGAGCTGAGCTCATCATCTCCTTGATCTTCAAGGAAATCTGTCCTACTGCTTTAATGTGAAAACTGTCCCATTTTCTGCCATCCCATGGGAACTACCAGATGTCAAGCTAGGTAAGGGAGTATCACCTAAAGAGCAGAGGGCAAGTATAGTGAATGCATGTTCCTTAATGTTGAATTTCCCATCACATTCAAGGCATAATGGTTCTTTTGTTCTTATGCAGAAGAAATTAGAGTCCTGATTAGTAGCTGACTAGAGGCTCTGCTAAGCTGCAGATCATGACGGCATGTTCAGTGACAAAGAAGATGGTATCAACCAACAGCACAAGGGTGCTCAAGACACCCTGAACAGACCTGCCTGCTAAGGGCAGCATCACCTGCATGGTTGAAAACAGCCAAAGGAAATCCCGAAGAAAGTGCCAGGAAGTTTCTGCTCTGTTCCCAGGAAGGTGGTCTCTTACTAAAGCTTACCAAAGGCTAGAAGCCAAATGCGCTTGCCCCCAAAAGACTACTGCTTCTTCCAAGGAGCTGGTTGATGGGATGTTTTGCAAAACACTCAGACAAGCTCTCCCACCTTGAAGACCTTGGAGTGGCATCTTTCCCAATAGGCAGACTGCATTGGCCTCAGCACAGGACATGCCTGTGACCCGTGTGGTACATGATAGAGCAGATGATCCAGATGAGCACTTCTGCCATTGAATAGGCAGCCTGCCTCTGTCTCCATGCACTGCTGGCTCCAGGTACCCTTGATGGTAAATGTCACCTCCTGGTGGGAAGACCTCCTCCCATTGGAGCAAGCTCAACTGCAACATGTGTCCCTCAAAGTGACACCAACGTCTTTCAGTGGCCTCTCTGTCTCTCTCTGCCAAAATCTGACTGATTTCTTCCATTAAACTATCAGTAATATCTTCTGAGTTACAGTGCAGACTTGTCAGTGCTCATTTTCACAGGTGCCACTGCTTCTCTCTGTTCAGCCAAAGCCCCCTTCACCCCAACCAGTGGCCCCTGTGCTAGGCTTGGTGCCTGGTCTGTAGACCCTAGGGTGGAAAGGGTACAGCAAGGGAGTTTGTGGGGCACCGTGGAACACCTGGGCCCTGATGCACCCACCAAGCACAGCGGGAAGGGGAAGACCAAGGCCTGGGCTCTTGGTACCTCCTTTTAAGCCCACACCTGTGGTGCTAGCTGGGAGGAAGTTACTGTGGGTGCTCTCTCCTACCAGGCAGGTATTCCACCAAATCACATGTGGGAGACAAGGCCTGGGCTCTTGGTACCTCCTTTCAAGCCCACACTTGTGGTGCTAGGTGGGAGGAAGTTACTGTGAGCGCTCTCTCCTACCAGGCAGGTATCTCCACCAAATCACATGTGGGAGCTGTTGCTACTCACAGCTTAGTGTAGAGCAGGCTTAAGATGCAGTAAGAAAGAAAAGCTCAGTAAGTACAAAAAGGTTGTGATGCTAAGGGCAGTATCAAGCTCCAGCTCCAGCTACACAGTCTCATCTGCACTCAAACACAAGGCACAGCCTCAGTGATACATGAGTTCATCACCCTGACGATTTATTGCAGCAACAAATATTTCTGCACAAAAAAATCCTCCCAGCCCTGGAAAACTTCCAGCAGAGGCAAAGCACGAGCGCACGGGTCAGCATGGGGACATGAACCAGCTCCTCTGCTCTCTCTCTCTGGAATCCCTGCTGAAAGCAATGCCCAGTTTGAAGTCTCGCCCCCAATATTTAAAGCCCTCAGTGGGTCTGACCTTAGCTTATAGCAAGCCGCAGCTCCACACCATTTCTGATCCCACCACTTCCCAGAAGACTTTGGGAATCAGTCTTGCCAGCGCAACACTATTTCAGAGTGCCCACTGGGGTGACACTGCGGTCACCCTGTGCTCTCCCCACCCGCAGACACCTTGCTCTGCTGGAAATGTCCTCAGTTTTAACTCGTGCACCACAACAGCAGCCGTGTCATTCACCCTGAGCCCACAGTGCGGGGGCTGTTGTGGTCTCTCCCCACACACAGACCCTTCACTCAACAGGTCATGAGTGAGGCTTTGCTGTCCACCTGAGAGATAAGCAATGGTAAGGGGAAAATGATAGAAAATGAATAAAAATGAAAAGTGATGTCGGGGCGGGGGGCACCCTTAATGTCCTAGTTCTGCTCTGCAGTCATCCTTTCACCCAGGCTTCTTCCTTGAAAGGAAGGTTTGGGTCTGTACTTCCTAGAAGAAACCTCTTCCAAAGCCTTTGACTGTATGTTAAAAGCAAGTAGCTTATAAATAAATAAATAAATAAATAAAAAGTACTCTGTGATCTCTTTGTTCTCCCACTAGCAATGCCAGAGGCGGAAAAAAAATAACAAAACTCAAACTTTAGTGATAAGTTATAGGTAACCTGGCAGCTTTCAGCAGTTAAAAAAAAATCCTGTTCAGGAGCAGCAGCCTAAAATTCTCCCCAAAGCACCCGCACGTGGCTGGACGTGAACCTGGCATCTCTCTGCCTTAGGCTCATGGCCTCGCCATGGCCTCCCCGGAGCACCTCGCTGGGGACCCTTGTGCCAGGCCCAAAAATCCATCCTGGGAGCGCGGCGGTGGCTTGAGCCCTGACGGATGGGTCAGAAGCTGCACAGGGACTGCATGGATCCTCTGCTGCACAGGTTTTCTCATGGCAGGAACAGCGGCCTCTCGGGAGGAGGCGGGCGCTGTTTGTGTTCATCCCGTGTCTCTTCCAACAGATGGCGTGAGCGTCAAAATGATTGAGGAGCTGAAGGCCATGATGGAAAACATCTCCCAGGAGGTTGCCTTGCTGAAGGAAAAGCAAGCACTTCAGACAGGTAAAGGGCTCACAAACATGGTCTTTGATTTGGAAGAGAAGACACTTATAAAGCCCTTTGGCAAGAGGCTTGGACAAGTGCTCCGTGGGGAGCGCGGGGCTGAGGGGGGTGTCGTGCAGAGCTTCCAAGCAGATGAAGCTCCTCTGGCGGTTAATGACAAGAGCTGTGCAGCATATGTCCCCGTTCCTCACGCGCAGGTCTTTCTTCCATGTACAGCTGCTGATACTTCTGTGACGCAAGGTCAGAAGCTCGTTTTCCCTCATAGATCAGAGGGATGAGTTGTTGCATACCAATGGTTGTGCACTTCAATCAAATGTACCCTTTGCTATCTGCTTTTATCCAAAGCCCAGGGAAAGGGGTGAGGTTGCTGACCTGTTATATATATTGCAATTTTGCTCAGAGAAACTCCCTTATGTGCAGTGTGAGGATGGTCCCAAGATGGTTATCTCCTGCACATGTTCTGTGGCTGGTCTGTGTGGGGCACCATAGCCTGGGGGTCTGCAAAGCATGAAATAGGGATGCAATGGAAATGCAGGTTAAGGAGCACTTTCTTCTTTTAGAGAGAAAGTGCTCCTTAACCTGCATCTCCGTTACAGGCTTTCGATCTGATCTTTAGATCGGCTTTAGATCTGAGCTCACATTCCTTGAGATTTAACTGGTTTGGATGCTAGTGCATCCTGTAATTAGTTGTTGTTTGCACGAAGTACCCTGAGCTCTTGGGGTTGAAAGCTTACCCAAAAAATTGCTCTTCTTACCAATAAAATCAGTAGAAATGAGAAATTTACCCTAAAGACCTCAAGCAATGCAAGCACAACACTTCCAGTCAAACCCTACAAAAAAGACCTTTTTCATGTATGCATAATTAAGATGATTGAATTATATTTATATACTTTTTCCAGAATTCTTCAGCACCCAGCAGAGATGATTAAAAAAAAAACTTGCCTCCAAAGGAATTTGTCTGAGATAGTTTAGGAGCATCTGGAAAATAGAAAAGTCGGGGAAGGGGAATGGGAACCACATTGTGGCTTTGCTCTGGGGTTGCAAAAGCACAGGACAGTGACACAGACACCCTGGAGGTCCATTTTTGCTGACTGCTGACCAATAGAGAGGTCATATCCCTGCAGCCACATCATGTGGCTTACCCTGAAGATGAGAGAGAGGGCCCCTAGGGATGCCCAGACTGTTGGAAATGGCACTAGGAACGCTAGGAGAAATCAACCTTGTAATTTAACTGTTGTGATTTTTAAAACAGATCCCTTTTCTTTTTGTCTGAAATCAACCTTGTAATTTAACTGTTGCGTGTGATTTTTAAAACAGATCCCTTTTCGTTTTGTCTCGTTTGTTTCACAGTTTGTCTGAAAGGCACCAAAATCCACCTAAAATGCTTTCTTGCATTTACTGAGACCAAGACGTACCATGAGGCCAGCGAAAACTGCATCTCTCAGGGCGGTACCCTCAGCACCCCCCAGAATGGGGAGGAGAACGACGCGCTCTACGACTACATGCGGAAAAGCATCGGCTCTGAGGTGGAGATCTGGCTCGGCCTCAACGACATGGCGGCCGAGGGCAAGTGGGTCGACATGACGGGCACCGGCATCCGCTACAAGAACTGGGAGACTGAAATCACCACCCAGCCGGATGGCGGCAAGTCGGAAAACTGCGCGGCCTTGTCGGGGGCAGCGATTGGCAAGTGGTTTGACAAGAGGTGCAAAGAGCAACTGCCCTACGTCTGCCAGTTCATGATCGTGTAACACCCGGGGCTCCTCCTGCAGGCCAGCTTATTCCACTTGGCAACAGGATTATCAAGCTATAGGTATGTGTATGTGTACATATACACACATGCATGCACACACACACACACACACTCAGCTAGAGTCACTTCTTGCAAAGAAAGTTGTTGTGGCTTGGCAAGGGATTAGAGAGAATTAGACCTCAGCTGCATTGCATGCGGTTGCACCCTGCTCTGCTAGCGGCTGCACCGTTCTTACTAAGGCATGATTTATAGATATATTTTTTTACACAGGAAATTTATTAGGATGGCTTGGTCGTTTCAGCAAAGAACTAGCGCAATGCCCCAGCTTTGCAAGCCAGCCAGTTTGGCGGCCTGGGCCGGCCACTCTGCAGTTTCCTTTACGTTCTTGCTGCATTTTGTTGAAGACCAGCAAAGCTGGTCTGTGCCTTCACCTCCTGTTTTGCTCCCTCATAAACGCCAAGAGTGGTGGGAGCTGGGCACGAGGTGCGTGGAACCACGTGTTAGTCACTCACAGCACTCGGATCCACTCCCTTCATCCTCCTGATCCTCCCAGGGAAGATCCCATCTCCAAAAGTAGGGATAGCTACTTCTGCTTTACAGTAAGAGATGGAATTGGGCTTACTGGCTGAGTACCCTGCAACTGCATAGGTGGTCACACAAGTCTAGTGACTTGTATAAGTAAGTCAGCAAATGAGAGTCACAAGCTGCTTTGCTGAGTGTCCTTTTCAGAAGCACTTACCATTTTGTTGGCTTGTGTCTTGTTAGTGGTAAATGTTCCACTGATTTCAGTGAGAGCTACTACCCTCAGTCTTTGCCAGGTCTTTCAAAAATTCCAGCAGAAGTTTTATTTGTGCTCCAGCAGCAGGAGGGAAGCTGTGAGTCTTTTACAGTTTACTCAGCCAAATATATTCTAGGAAATAGAAGATTACAGTATTAGGTAAATATCAGAATTTTAATGCCATTATAGATGGCCATCCTATCAAAGGCAACTGTCCCTTGGAAACAAATCCCTAGAAAACTGATTTTTGCCACTTTAGGAATCATAGGATCTGTTTTAGTGATAGCAGCTCAGTTGAAATGTACCAGTCCTTGTTGGTCAGGGCCCAGTTCTCGGCTAAAATAATTCCTCCAAGCTCTGTTTGGGCTGATAAAGTCAGATCTGGCCTCAGTATGCAGTTGCTGAGAAAAGGGTGGACGCCAAAAGATGTAAATGAGCAGCAAGGGTTGGGGGCAGGGGAAGTAGCAGGCCACGGTGATGCTGTGAGAGCTTAATGAGGCTTTATTCACATTGATTTGCTTACTGTTGGCCAAAACCCATTTGTGGCTCCTTGAATGTCGGTGCTTGCTGATAACCATCTGGTGTAGGTTATACGGCCCTTGGGCTGCCAGGTAGAGGGTGTCAGGATGTAACACCTGCTCTCGGGATAGCCGCAGGAGAATTATTCCAGTGGGCCTCCAGGTTTAAATGCAGCGTGATTCTGTATCTTCCCAAACACCGAGTGGGAGAGCCAAGTCGGAGGAATGGAAACACACACGCGCGGCGCCTACTGCTGAGGCTGTTCGTTATTGCCAAACTCTCCGCTGTTCAAACGACCATAAAATAAAGAAATATATAGCTTGCTGAAAGAATAAAGTTGAGTTCATTTGATTGGGCTGCTTCCTTCTCACGCTCCTTCGGTTTTGCTTCAGAGTGGTGCCAGGGTCCTGTCAGAGGAGCAGTGACCACAGAAGCAGAGGGGAAAAGCAGAAAGCCGGCGTTTCCTGCTCTGTGATATAGTTTCCCTGTTATTACCTTCGCATTCACATGCCACATGAGAGAGACAGGCAGGGAACAGAAAAATAAACACAGAAAAATAAGATTTCCTTCCCCTTGGCTCCTGAGAAATTTCACTCCAAAACAGGAGTGGGCCCTGCAGACAGGTCCATCCTGGCCCCGAGGAGTCTTGCCCCGTGTTTGGTAGCAGCAGCCAAGTGCGCTCTGGCAGCAGCCTTCGCACTCCCAGGGCAGAGCCAATGTTTCCCAGGTTGCCTCCCAGCTCCTCCGTGAAGTGCACAGCTATGGCAGCTGCATCCGGCCACCTGCGACGTGGTCATGACCTTCTCCTCCTCCTCCTCCTCCTCCTCCTCAGCATCCCATGGAGGAGAGGAGATCACGCTTCTTAGAAGATAATGCTCAACACCAGCCTGGAAGGCCTCAGCTGCTACCAGATTCCATGGGAATTCAGCCCCCTTTGCACAAGTGGCCAGCCCCTCACTGAGCTTCGCTCCCCCCATCCCAGTCCTGAGGGTTTTAGGTCAAGGTGGCACCCTACTGTTACAGCCCAGGAAGACCTGAGCCAGGAAGATTCTTTGTTATATCCAGAGTGAGAATAAGACACAAATGATGTCAAATGCTGCCAGGCAAGGAAACCTATACAAACAAAATATTCATGTGTTACACTAAGAAAACAGTGGTAGGAAAGAAGAAAATCTATCAGGCAGTCAGGATAGGATTGCAAGAGATAGCCACCACCATGGATCCAGCAGCATCCTGTTGGTCCATGGTCTTCGTGCACATCGGTGGTGGGGGTCTCCGGATTGCCATCTATTATTTGATTGCCCAGTCTTTTATAGGATATCCAGGAAGGTCGCTTCCCAGCCAAGGACATTCCTGAATTCCCGCCTCAGCAGGTTGGGGTGATGCACATCCTCCAACGCAGCACGGCCGTTCCTTGACCCTGGCTGAAAACTATTTCAAGTCCTTATCTGTTCACAGCTGCCGAGCCCGGTTCTTGCAGTGAATTCAGCAGAAAGGCAAACAACCTTTGAGACAGTCGGCTTGAGCTATGGTCCCTCACACCTACATGCCAGCTTCACTCAGTCTCAGCGTACATGTCCAGCTGCCTGTGGCTGAGGAACCTTCTGTTTTTTGGAGACATATCTGAACACAAAGCAGCTAAGCCCAAAGTCTTGCTGGTCAATCTGATCATAGAATGCATAGAATCATAGAATGCTTAAGGTTGGAAGGGACCTCTAGAGGTCATCTAGTCCAACCCCCCTGCACACGCAGGGTCACCCAGAGCAGAGCACATGGCACAGGACTGCGTCCAAGAGGGTTTTGAAGATCTCCAGAGAAGGAGACTCCACAACCTCTCTGGGCAGCCTGTTCCAGTGCTCTGTCACCCTCACTGTTAAAAAAATTTTCCTTAAGTTCATGTGGAATCTTTGATGCTTCAGTTTGTGGCCATTTCTTCTAGTTCTGTCTGTGGCCACCACTGAAAAGAGACCAGCACCATCCTCTTCACTGCCTCCCTTGAGGTACTTAGACACTGATTAGATCCCCTCTCAGCCTTCTCTTCTCCAGGCTGAACAGGCCCAGCTCCCTCAGCCTCTCCTCATAGGGCAGATGTTCCAGGCCCCTGATCATCCTTGTGACCCTGCGCTGGACTCTCTCCAGCAGCTCCATCATACTGATCAATCATAAACCACAATGTCTTAAAACCCAAATATGTGGCAAGAGAAATGAGCAGAGGTCTTGCAAGGGAGCCCAAGAGCAAAAGAAAGGCAATGTAGCAGCCACGGTCCTGACCACCCCGTGCTTTGGGTGGATGGGAGCATCACCGCGGGGCCACCTCTCCACATCAACCCCGTGGCAGCAAACTCTGTACTCTGGATTGCAGATATTTCCTCTGTCCTTGCTCCACCTCCTCCTATTGTGATGATTTTTTTAGCATGGGCTACCACAGACTGCGTTAATGTCTGCAATAGCCAAGTGAGGCAGAAGCGGAGGATGGAGGAGAAGAGAAGCAGCAGAAAGGCCCTGTGTTGTTTCTGCAGCCAGAGCAGACCCTCATGCTCACGGCAAACCCCACAATGAAACAAGTTTAAAATGGGAGCCCAGGCCACCTCTGGATGTGCCTCATCTGCGGACGGCTGGGGCCAGCATCACCCTTTTGATCTTTGTTAACTTTTCTTGGCACACGTGGCAAGCCAGAGAGAAACATTTGCCCTTCACAAAGCACTTGGCATTTGGTTGGCATCACCACTGCCAAAGGTGGTAAGGTCTGCAGTGTGGACAAGCACAAAGAAAACTCAGCTATTCCGCAAGAAAAGAGAAATGTGGAAGTGATCATACCGAAACCACCATGCGGTGGTGCCTGAAGTCTTAAATGGGCCTCACTGCTAAAACAGATGGGTACTGCCTCAGATCTTGTGCCACGGATTACGCTGCTCAGCTGTCTGCGGCTCTTGTAGAGCAGTGGAAAGATGGAGCATGAGAGGCATGTATGTTTATATAAAAGGGACGAAGGGAGATTGTCAGGCAGTGTTAAGCCAACACTATTCTGCCCACAGCTGACTTCAATCAAGAAAGGCTGATTTGTACCACTGACTGCCCTGGCCCTGATTCACCAAGGTCCTTAAGTGCAGGTAAAGGATCCATTGGTTAAAAATGGAATGGTTAACCACAAAACAGTTAACAGCACTCTTAAATACCCCACTGAGCAAGAGCCAAGAGTCAATAAGCCATTACTAATGAACATTAATCCCAGATGGCTCCTGGCTTCAGCCAGTGCAGGGGCCAGGGATTAGTGCAAATGTTGGCAAGAATGTGGGAGTCACAGCAGAGCTTTGGGTCCTGAAACTCAATGCTTTTGTGGGATTCACTCCTTACCAGCCTGGGAAAGCCCAGAACAATGAGCTCGGTGACATGGAGGAAGGCCACAATGTCCCATGGGAAGGCAAAGTGATGTTAAGAATGAGCACTCAACCTCAAGCACAAGCTCCCTGCATTGGTTCATCCCTGGTGCCTGGGTTCGTCCCCATCTCTCCCCACATCATCTGTCATCTCTCCCCATGATCTTCTCAAGAAACAGCTCCCACAGGCCGCAGTCTCCTCCTGTCCCAAGGGGAAAGTGCTTCCCACCCCTGACTGTAGCATAACATCACCCACAGGATGCACTGGCAACTCTCTGAAGAGAAGGAGCACCTGCTCCCTGCACCACCAAGCCTTGTTCTTGCTGCAGGCTCTGCTACTTGTTCGGGCTCCTACTTAGGTACCAAACACCCCGTTCAATGTAGATGAGAGCCTCTGCAGCAGGGCCTGATTCCTCCCGTGGGTA